AAAATTTACATCTAGCTGGCTAGTTGACATATAAGCAGAGTCAGATGGTCTTATATTGAACCTTTTTTTCCAGCTGGCTAGTTTATATGTAAGCATGGTTGGATGGTCTTATAATGAAATGTACATCCAGCCATCTAGGTTATATGTAAACTAGATCAGATGTCTTATATTAAAGTTTACATCTTGCTAGCCAGCTGACATATAAGCAGAGCCAGATGGTCTTATATTGAAGCAAACTAGCTGATGTATAGATAGATTAAGATGGTCTTATTATTAAAGCTTACATTCAGCCAGCTCCTTTATTTATAAGTAGGGTCAGATAGTCTAGCTTCTTGTGTCTGGAATAATGTTTTGAGAAGCATGTGGGAGGTCTACCTCCACTAGCAAAACTTGGAGGTCAACCTATGAACTAAACCATGTGACATTAAGCTAAATAAAGAAATGAATTCGTTTATCAAAATGGCAGCAATTTTTAAAAGTTTTTTTTTTTACCAAAGAATAAAAAAATAACTATAATAGAAGACTGGAAACCTAAAGATTTGACTGACATAATATTAGTTAATATAACAAATGAACACATGCCAAAATATTATATAAGTTATTGTTTTTCAACGGCTGGGTTCACATTTGTCAAACTTTGTTAAGAGGTCAGTATTGTTACGCAATGTAATAATCTTTATACCTGGTTCATATTCGTTAAATGTATTGTATTCATTGTAAAGACAAAGTATTTCTTCCTAAACACAATCACCTGTACATGATATTTGATAAGGTATTTTGCCTTCTTAACTGTCATTATAATTGAATACCAATAGCTTGAATGTTTTACATGACGGTTTGATAAACACATGAAATTGGCGTATCTTAACATATCTTATTGAAATACTTGAAATGCATGTTTAAAGGTAATCACGTTTATATTATAAATGTGACAATTACAGGTTAACAGACAGCCTGTACCTGTCACTCATGGGGGAAAATTACTGGTTTGAAATCTGGCTTGAAAATAATTTTTAAAGGGGAAATATGCTATGTTTAATGATATGACAAAAAATGAAATATTTTATGATCTTTTTGATATTTTTTGCTACAAAAGCAGTTCATTGTTGAAGTTATTAACCTTTAGTTAATGTAATGTGTTAGAGATGATTCTAGTACAAGAAGGTAACTAACAGTCTCTTCTGCTTTTTTTTTTTGTCTGTTTTCCGGTCAATGCCAAGAAATTGCTTCCTTAGGGACTCTTTGTAATGTGGTCAAGCTTTAATGTTGTAAAACACAAGTTTAGACAGTGTTGCAATAATGACTATTTGTTTGAAAGAATAACAATCAAATGGGCATTTACATTTTATCAGCGAATCTTTGATTTTGTTTTTGCAGAGTTATTGCCCTTTTCTGTTATTATTTGATAATTTACCATGCTTATATATATATATATGTTGTTCAATCATTTCTGTTTAGAAAAAGGACATTCAATTTTAATTTAGCATTTAGAAAAATTATCAAAGAGAATAATTGCTAAGCACAAGTGCCATAACTATACCCAACATTACCTCCCTTTTCTATCATCCTTATCTAAAAATAGATCATGTTACTTGAAGCATATACTAGATCAACCAAGAAATCTTATGTTCATAGGTTCAAAACATGCTTTTAACGTCAAGCCACCTTTAAAATATTTTCTCTAATGATGAATTTTAAGGAGATGCAATTTGATTATCATTACAAGATTTAATTAGCAAAAAGTGTAAAACAGTTTTCGTAACAGTTGATGATTGAATTATTTTAATTATTTACAACTTTGAATTTTCAATGCCTGAATTAATACTACAGATCAATCTTTCAATTAATAATGATGATTGAACTACTAAATCAATTTGATGTTATGATTTAACATTCTCTTATTGATTTGTTAATTGACTGATATTTTATATTAACAGAACAAGATTTCTCTGTCAATTATTCTCGGTTTTCAAGAATTAAAGATTACAGTTTGGTTTTCTGTTACACATTGGAAGTCACGAGTATCACAATAAATGTGACTGAGCTTCTGCTGTTGCAATAAGATTTAAGCTTGTAAAAGTGTAAGGGTTATACCACCTAAATCAAGGACATCAGGTTTTGAGCTATACCAGGGTCGTAACCATGAATACTAATATTAAAGTGAAGGAAGCTGGCCTTTACTTCAAATTCATGCAGGTCTGCCAGCTTAGCTTAAATGGGAGAACATTTGATTACTGATCCAGGGGTCACTGGTTCAATCCTTTGGCAAGGTGTAATTTCTCCGTGACAATTGATCACAGACATTTAGTCTTAATGTCATAAGTCTCCAACCAATGATTCAGAAATCATATGGGACAAGTGGATGGTGACTTTGGAAGAAATTGATAGTTACTGGTTAGTTATCCTGGAAAGCCAGTTAAGTGGATTAACCACCAAGACCTAACCAAAACATGTGATTTAATCAGCATAAAAACCAGAAAATCTAATAAACAAATCATAATTTCATATGCATTAATAAATAGCTTAAGTTCTCACCTACTAAATATTTGCAGTTGACATACCTTACTTTTAATGTGTTAGAGTGACTGTTAAATATAAGCAATCAGGAGTATTGAGTCTAATCAGGATACACCTAAGTGCTGACCAACCTTGCTGAGTAGCCGTGGTCTAAGCAAATTTGCATGTTATCACAAACTTTCAGTGAGAGTCTTGACAGATTGAATAGCCTAAGTTGCTTGGGAAAAGTGATGCAGATTTAAAACATATTGAATCTGAGGAGAAGTTGACAGCTGTTTGTGGAGAACAGGCTAATACTTGGCATAGAATCTTCAAATATTTGTCTGGTTATCAATGATGAGGAAGATTGTTGCAAAATAAGCAGAAATGACACACTGGACAGAAGGAAACATGGTGGTGAAGTTGCAACTGCTTGAGGAGAGCCATTGTCATTACAGTAAACTTGTTCTGAAGTTACATGTATACATGTGTTTCTGTATTGTGATGAACTGATGAAATTAATACTTGACAATAAACTTATTTGCGAAAATAAAAAATCATTTCATCAAAATTTTTATGTAAAAATTGCTCTGTCATTAAGTAATACATTGTACATATTTTGCAGTTTGTTCAGCTAGGTAAATGTAAGTCACTCATAAAAAACATTATTCGAGAAAAGTGGTTTAATACAGTTACACAACATAATAAATCAGCAAATCTATTCAACACTTTAAGATATATGGTAATGTGTTAGATTATATCATAAGTGTAACAACCAGATGATTGACGTGAGAAGTCTGTCTGGTTATGCGTGAGTTCACTCCCTTTATCAACAGTATCTCAGATTTAACTCCCTTTGTCCAATATTGCCTGTATAAAGAGCCTTGCTGTTTGTCTTACGAGCAATAAATTGTTTTTCTTTTGCATCTCTCTCTCAGTTATATAGATTTCTATCTATGATGTTGATACAGGTATTTACTGAATACACACCTGGATTATTAGAAGACAATGTTTTTTCTGAAATGTTTCCAAGTCAATTCGGAACTGTCTATTTCGCCTATATCCCCCCCTGAACTGCCTAATATTTCACAGAGGAATTTCCTGGAGATGTGTTTACATCAATAGAAATAATATTAGACAGGTAAATCTAGCTTCCAACAAACACTTGTTAATACATTAATTGAACTGGTTTGGAGGAAAAACAAAGCTAACGCTCCTCCGATTTTTTTTTTACTTGCCTCTCGCCAGGTATTTTGTTGATACAAGAAGTAGGCATCCTGGCATAATTGATATCATAATAATGCATAAAGGCATTCTTTGACGTAATTGTTCGCCTGTCTGCTTAACTCTTTTTACTTTGTTGTTTTATCAAGGATTGTTTGAAAAGATAATAGCTTTCCTGATAAATAAATGAACGTATTGAACTTTTTATAAGTTGTTCATTAAAAGTTATGTTTCGGCTATAAATAGATATTCTTTGCATCTGTAGTAATTAAAGTGCTAAATTTTTTATATAGAATATTCTTTGGTTTGATTAAGTTGTGAAATAATTTTGTTTTCATACTGTTGCAGCATTTTTAAAACTTTAGCATACTGTCGACAATTGAATATACCATTGTGATCAGTGCAGACCAAGATCAGTGTACACCTCTGTTCCATCTAATCAGGGTCTTTACTGTTTGCGAATCAGTCAGTTCTTTGATTTAGAAGTTTTCCCTAAAAATAATGAATGGTTTTACCTAGATTGAAAGACTTACATGTCCATTTAAGATATTTAATGTTTTCAGGGTTGACTATTGTCATTTAGTCAGAAAGATTTCTTAAAATCATAAATTTCAATAAATGCAAAATAATAAGAGAAAAGCTCCAGTCTGAGAGCCACAATTACATTTCAAACCTTGAGAATTACTTGTTTGAATAAAGCGACAGTGTTATTCTATAAGTTTGCTGGTATTATTTGTGCAAATACAACCCAGAAAAACATGATCAAAACGTTGAATGATTTGTTTTAACATGTTGATCTTCTTTCTGTTTGTTGTAATGAGAATATTTGCACATTTCAACACTTTCATAATGATAAAAATGTTTCACTTAATGTACCTTAGTTTACACCCTGATAATCCCCACTGTCTTTGCCATGAGAAATTGTCCTATTTTTATTGCAAGGTTTGTGCCACCCATTATCACCTTATGGGCACTAAGCCAATGCTTGGGCACTTGACACTTATTTTTCTTTTGTAACTGTAATTTCATTAAAAGTTAATGTGTTATCAAATTATGAAGCATAATTATTTAAATAAAGATATTGTACAAAGTACCTGATAGCCAGAGTGAAGTACTGGATTTGTTTTTTGTTGTTTTTGTTTCTAATTACGTAGAGTAGTCTTTGAATTTTCTAATATATATATTTTTTTCTCCAAATACATGTTATTTTTATTTTCAAAATTACTTTTGAAGGTTCCCAGAATTGTTTCAGTTAGTGTCATGAGAATTATTTATTACAGGAATCAAAATATTGGAAATACAGAGATAATGCAAAAGGAATGTTTTAAACTGATATGGATCTACGGAGAAGCAACCCAGTCCTCCTGATGGACTCATTAAGGTATAAAACATTCATAACATTTCTAAGAATGCATGTCTGTATTATTGATAATATAATTTTAGGTGTTTTCAATTTCAGTTGATTATATATTTATTATGTAATGATTATCTGATAGCATAGATATTTATGAGTTCTATTTATGCTGCTATGGATGCTGTGTCATACGCACTTGCTATATACTTTTTTTGAAAGTTCAAAGTAATACTTTAATTTTAATAAGTTGCTTATCTAAGAAAGAACTAGTTGTCACAATGTTGATTTTATATTACTTTATCTAAAAAAGAAAAAGTTATCCCAATATAAGTGTATATACTCTTTGATTTTATACTTTATTTAAATTACTGGTACTTAATATAATGGGCTAAGGTGTGAAGAATGTACAAACTAGGACAGGCAGAATTTGCTGATGGATTTGCCAGTACCTAGAACTTTAAGCTGTCAGTTGAATATTGTAATGGAATAAAGTTATTGTACTTAAATGGCAAAATATCAGTCAGCAGTTAAGTTTGATCTACTTTGATCAGATAACTATTCATTGGCTATATTTATACTAGTAGAAAGAGCATTTCATTGTCAACATGAGCTCTATTTCATGTTAAATGTTGAATACTGCTTAATTAAGCGGGTGCTAGGGGGCACGAGCGGTAACTTGCACTTACCATTACAGTTCATGAACAGGCTCAATCAACTTTTCAATTTTGTCATTTTGCATTTTCTTTAGGAATTCTTTATCTCTCTCTATTTTAAGAGAGTTTAGAGTTTAAATTACCAATATTTTCTGCCATGCCCATTCTAACCGATTTTAGTTATAACTTTTTCTTAATTGATTTATACTTTTACTTGTTCTTTATTTTAGACCTGTAGACCAGCCATTAAGTAGTAAAAATCAACTCATTGCCAAACAATTCATGCCTTGCATTTCTTTGCTTATTGCTTTGTTATTTAAAATTAAGCCCTTTTGAATTTAAATGTAAGTCTTTTATACAGTGCTATGCTCTTCTAAGGCAATGATTGTTCTTTTTCTATGTAAATACTTGCACTTAACCTTTAAATCATTTTAATAGGACAAGCATCTTCAACCATAATGGGTTTGAGCCATTCTTATGACACAAATGACTGGCTAGTTCTCAAGAGTGATTTGGATAAGCTACCAGCTTTATTCACTGTTGAGTTTCAGAAAATAATGTTTTAATTAAACATATTTACTGCTTACAGTACTCAAAGATAACATGATCCTTACATTGTCTCACTTTTGGCTCTGAGACTCCAAAGCACATTATATTCTAAAATACTCACTATGATGAGTCTGAGGAGCATTAAGGATTTCAGTGTTCAATATTTAACTTTGTTTATTAGAAAGGAGCATTTTGAGCTGAACTAAAGAATACAGAGAGTTATTGTAACTCGCCCTGACGTCTGCATCACCATCATACTTTGGTTTTACGTTAAATTTGATATCTCCAAAACTACAGAAAGGAATGGGTAGAAACTTCTCACACTTGTTCTCTGTGATTATTTTACATGCTGGACTCAGGTCCCATAACTCTGTATTACCTTTTTACAGAGTTATGCCCCTTTTCCTACTGTCAAGAACTGAGAGCCTTGTCTTCCAGACAGCTCTTGTTTACTTTTAGAGGCAACTATGTTAGAAAAAACTTTCTTGTGCAAATTTTATGTTGTTATAGGCTCGTTTGTTGCAAAAACATGACATTGTTGCTCTATTGACAGATTCATTTCTGTGACAGTGATATTTGAAAGTGTATGAAATGCATTTTTTCTCCCTGCATACACAATGTGATTCCATTAAAGTTATTTGATGTGATGACAAATTCTATCACAAACCATTTCTAATTAACAGAGAGAAAAGATTGATTTGAAAACTGTTTTTATTGAAGTATTATCTGTAATTAAGATGAACTCGGATCAATAATTTCAAAGTCATTCATTGAAGAAAAAACTACTGGTATTGTATGTCTTGATGGTTTGATGGTGGGAAGTATCATTTTTCTTTAATAAATCACGTGACAGCTAATGATATTTTAATTCAGTTTTAAAGTGGGATTTAGCTAACGACATTCACAAAATTCTTGCATTTCATTCATTAAGGTATATAGTTTGTAAACAAAGATACATGATCTGTTAATAAAAAAAAGATGTAAAATAAACTGCTGATAAAGACTTGTCCTTTTTTCTCTGATGTTCATGTATCCAGGGTAGGTGATCATGCGAAATTTGTTTTCATTAACAGTTACTCATAGATAATTGCCAAGCCTGTTACTTAAAAGAATATCTGCTAATTTGTCCTTGTATCTTTAAATATTTTCATAATAAACATATACATGCATGTACTATGTTCCAGACAAATATTCGCCAACCCAAGAAACATATTTTCTAATGTAGCCACACAATTGTTACACAATGTTACCACATATTTTCATCAAAATAATGCTGCATTGAAAAATTTCTGCAAGAATGTCAGGAAAAGTAAAAGAGCTACAATAGAAAAGTGTTGGCAAATATTTGCCTGTAACATAGTATATGTTTTTATTCAAATATAGCAAGAAATAAGGAAAAAATAGCAAAGAACATAGGAAGAAATGGGAGCAGCCATAAGAGGTGACCCAATGTTACCATAAAACAAATGTCCCATGATCACCAGCCATGAAATACTACTACTGGTTATAAGGTAAGTGTTTGTGCAAAAAAATTCAGAAATTAATTAATCAATCAATAAATTAATTATACATATTATAAAATGTAACAATTTTAACTGATAAACTTTACATAGCTAGAAGTTGTTTTTTTGAATTTTTGAATTCTGCATGTCACAACCCAATATTCGAAGTTACTTGTCACTGGGTTCATGCAACAGTATTCGTAAATATTGTTTGTCTTTTTACAGTATTCAAAATCTGCTTGTCACATAACATGGAGGGGATTGTTGCTAGTTGCTGTGCAATGGCTAGACCTGTTTTGTACTCTAATTTGTTTAGATAATAAGTAAGTAAAAACATTTTATAGTCTAGCTTCTTGTGAATAGCTTATAATAATGCAGCCTATTTTATTGGGTCATAGAATTTGATGAACTCTAATGTTCCCATTTACACCTTGCTGACATTAAGTAAAGTACTGTAATTTTTTTTGGGCTCCTGGAAAGAAGCTGTGCCCTTGATAGGAATCAAACCTGGGAAAACTTGATCCCAAAGTGCATGACTCGCCAGTGAACCACTGCACATCTTGGTCCATTCAACGTACCACTGCTTATGCGACAAACGATATAATGTTAAATGTCACTGCATCAATCTACTGGGTAATGTTGTCAAATAGTAATGTTAGGGATTGAATCTTTAATATGAAACAAATCATTATACCCCCACAAATGAAGTTAAGGGTGTGTATATAGGAGTCAGCTTGTCATTCTGTCAGTCCATCGGTCAGTCAACATTATGGTTTCCAGATGATAACTAGAGTTTGGAATGAGGTATTGTAATCAAACTTGGTATATAGCAACCTTATGTGGAGACTCCTGTTGGTATTTCATTTGGATCCCCTGGGATCAAAGTCAAGGTCACCATTACTAAAAATAGAAAAATGGTTTCCAGACAATAACTAGAGTTAGGAATGAGATATTGTTATCAAACTTGGCGTATAGCAAGCTTATATGAAGACCTGGGTTAGTATTGCATTTGGGCATTTGGTTTCCAGATGATAACTAAGGTTAGGAATAAGATATTGTAATCAAACTTTTAGTATAGCAAGCTTATATAAAGACCTGGGTTTGTATCGCATTTTGACCCCCTTGGATCTAGGTCAAGGTCACCATTACTAAAAATAGAAAAATGGTTTCTGGATAATAACTAGAGTTAGGAATGAGATATTGTTATCAAACTTGGTGTATAGCAAGCTTATATAAAGACCAGGGTTGGTATTGCATTTGGGCACCCTGGGGTCAAGGTCACCATTACTTAAATAGAAAAATGGTTTCTGGACAATAACTAAGGTTAGAATAAGATATTGTAATCCAACTTGGTGTTTAGCAAGCTTATATGAAGACCTGGGTTGGTATTGCATTTTGACCCCCTGGGATCTAGGTCAAGGTCACCATTACTAAAAATAGAAAAATGGTTTCTGGACAACAACTAGAGTTAGGAATGAGATATTGTTATTAAACATGGTGTATAGCAAGCTTATATGAAGATCCAGGTTGGTATTGCAATAAAAAACCCTGGGGTCAAGGTCACTGTAACTAAAAATAGAAAAATGGTTTCTGGACAATAACTAGAGTTAGGAATGAGATATTGTAATCAAACTTGGTGTATAGGAAGCTTATATGAAGATCTGGGTTGGTGTTGCATTTTGCCCCCTTGGGGTCAAGATCACCATTACAGTGTTACTTAAAATAGAAAAATGGTTTCTGGACAATAACCAGAGTTAGGAATGAGATATTGTAATCAAACTTTGTGTATAGCAAGCTTATTTGGAGACTACAGTTGGGATTACAATTAATTGAAATGTTTCTTTGTACACAGTTGATAGTTTGTGTTCAAATTTTTCTTCAGACTACTTATTTTTCAAAAAGTCAAAGTTTGCTGGTGGGGGTATTAATCACCTTCAGTGATAGGTCTAGTTACAAATTACTTGCATGTTTCTTTCACAACTAGCTAATCCCCTTCTGTAGACCTCAACCACTTGACATCCAGTAAAGTTTTTTGAAGTTGAGGTCGTATCCCAATAAAAAATCAATGGCAGGCAAAAGGTACAACCTTTGCTCGTAACTATCATTACGCTAAAAACTGATTTTAAAAACATAGTAGTTTCATTCACATTTTGATAGTAAATTGAAAGTAGCATTTATTGATGAAATGTGACATATTAAACAGATAGCAAGTTTTTTTTCCATCTCTTTGTCATACATTGTCAAGAATTTGTGCTAAAACCTGATACATGTTTGATGATACCTTACAAGCTTTGATACTTTTTTTTGTTCTACTTTCTTTTATTAAAATATACATGAAACTTGATGCTAAAGAGTTTACAGTTCACACAAATCTCAACGAAGTACTCTTATAACAATTCCTCTGAACGTTAGGCGTTAGATATTAGATAACTTTAAATTTTCGCAGATTATATTGAATTGTTAATGAAATTTAAAAGAGAAAATATATAAAATATACATTGAAAATTGTGTCCCTTTGGACCATTTTGTTTCTTTGAAATATAGAGTGACTTTCAAAGACAGGGCATTCAGTAAAGAAATAAACAGTAAGTATAAGTGCATTTAGGACAATTGAATAACTAGTAAATGAAATAAAGGAAACACTTTTTAAAGATGTTTTTTTTTATGAATTAGAGATAAGCTGTATCATTTGATACAAGTAAATCATCTGATTGAAATAGAGAATAGGATATTGCACTATATGACTTATTGTATTAAATGAGTTAGACAGTTTTTTTACCATTTTAATATATATGCATTGTAATTAAAATGCAATCAATTAATAAACTATTCAAAGAACAACAAAGGTATTCCTATTACATGCATTTGAAAACATTTTATTAAGTTTAAATCACCAATATTAACTGAAATTTACGATAACATTAAATGTGTTCACCTCCAGATGAGAATTGAATCTGTCAAAAAAATAAAAAAGAAAAAAATATATAATAATAATTTAAGGCATGTTTGTACATTCACAATCTAGGTGTAATATTGTACATATTGTGTTATGTAAAATGTGGCAAAATTTACTATTCTCATCGCCAAAATTCTAACTTATTACTAAAGAGTTTTACTGAAATATCTGCATATTAAGACAAAGGTGATTGTTGTTCACAGTAAGTATCTTTAGCTATGTTATATCAATTTGTACACTTGAAAACATTTTTAAAGTTTTCATAAACACCAGTTTATATCTGGAGGATTAGAACAAGTTTTTAGGTTTTCATCAACACCAATGGTTATATATGGAAGATAAGAACATGTTTATAAGTTTTCATAAACACCAATTTATATCTGGAGGATAAGAACAAGTTTTAAGGTTTTCATAAACACCATCTTATTTTATATCAAGAGGATTAGAACAAGTTTTTAAGTTTTCATAAACACCAATGGTTATATATGGAAGATAAGAACATGTTTATAAGTTTTCATAAACACCAATTTATATCTGGAGGATAAGAACAAGTTTTTAGGTTTTCATAAACACCATATCATATTATATCAAGAGGATTAGAACAAGTTTTTAAGTTTTCATAAACACCAATTTATATCTGGAAGATAGGAACAAGTTTTTAGATTTTCATAAACACCATCTTACATCATATTATATCAAGAGGATTAAAACAAGTTTTTAAGTTTTCATAAACACCAATGGTTATATATGGAAGATAAGAACATGTTTTTAAGTTTTAATAAACACCAACTTATATCAAGGGTATTAGATCATGTTTTTAAATTTTCAAAAACACCATCTTATATCTAAAGGATTAAAACAAGTTTATAAGTTTTCATGAACACCAATGGTTATATATGGAAGATAAGAACATGTTTATAAGTTTTCATAAACACCAATTTATATCTGGAAGATAGGAACAAGTTTTTAGATTTTCATAAACACCATCTTACATCATATTATATCAAGAGGATTAAAACAAGTTTTTAAGTTTTCATAAACACTAATGGTTATATATGGAAGATAAGAACATGTTTTTAAGTTTTAATAAACACCAACTTATATCAAGGATATTAGAACATGTTTTGAAATTTTCAAAAACACCATCTTATATCTAAAGGATTAAAACAAGTTTATAAGTTTTCATGAACACCAATGGTTATATATGGAAGATAAGAACATGTTTATAAGTTTTCATAAACACCAATTTATATCTGGAGGATAAGAACAAGTTTTTAGGTTTTCATAAACACCATCTTACATATTATTATATCAAGAGGATTAGAACAAGTTTTTAAGTTTTCATAAACATCAATGGTTATATATGGAAGGTAAGAAGATGTTTATAAGTTTTCATAAACACCATCTTGTATCTGGAGGATTAGAACAAGTTTTTAGGTTTTCATAAACACCAATAGTTATATATGGAAGATAAGAACATGTTTATAAATTTTCATAAACACCAATTTATATCTGGAAGATAAGAACAAGTTTTTAGGTTTTCATAAACACCAATGGTTATATATGGAAGATAAGAACATGTTTATAAATTTTCATAAACACCAATTTATATCTGGAAGATAAGAACAAGTTTTTAGGTTTTCATAAACACCATCTTACATCATATAACATCAAGAGGATTAAAATAAGTTTTTAAGTTTTCATAAACACCAATGGTTATATATGGAAGATAAGAACATGTTTATAAATTTTCATAAACACCAATTTATATCTGGAAGATAAGAACAAGTTTTTAGGTTTTCATAAACACCATCTTACATCATATAACATCAAGAGGATTAAAATAAGTTTTTAAGTTTTCATAAACACCATCTTATATCTGGAGGATTAGAACATGTTTTTAAATTTTCATAAAACCATCTTATATCAAGAGGATTAGAACAAGTTTATAAGTTTTCATAAACACCAACTTATATCTGGAGGATAAGAACAAGAAGTTTTTAAATTTCAGTAAGCACCAATTTCAGGATGAGAATAAGTATTTAAGTTTTCATAAACACCAATTTATATCTTGTAGTTACAAGCTGCTTTAAAGTAAGAAAAACCAGCTTGTTATTTCCTATCAACAGCTATATTAAGTTTATATTTATGGATTAAGGTATTTAATTTTGTCATTAATTAGGTGTACATATGTTGCATTGTGACATATGTTTTCTTATAAAACAAGCTTAACCACTGTAAATATATGAATTGTTAGCATTTATTTTGTTGTCAGAATAAAAAGAACATTATCAACAGCTTGTTTAGTGATATATGTGTAATTATTGAGTCCATAACTCTGCGTTGTTAAATTTATCAATTTTACATTATTTCTTTATTATAGAAATAAGTAATATCTGCATAGTTTATAGACAGTTTCTTTATAAACCCATTGCCCTACTTAATGCTAACTAATGTGGCTTTGGAATTAATTTACAGTTTTCATAAATACAATGTTTTTATTTGCTTGATTCACAAATATATTTATCTGTATAATAAGTATATATTTGATGATTGTTTAGTTCACATTATATTTGTATCTATTTTTTTTTATTCCAACTATAAAGTATATTAAAAGTCAAAGAATTATTCATTAGCTTTGTCAATGCCTTTGTATTTTGTGTTAATAGTTCACATTGGGCATTATTTTGTTTTGCCACAAAAACACCATCGCATGATATTATTGGCTTACAGCTGACTCAAATTGCTTTTTGGAACTTGAATACAAATAGTAGTCTTTGATATTCTTTTGAATCAATTTTCAGAATTTGCAATTAAGAAATATTCATAAATGTAAGGTTGATTTGTCCTGCTCTGTGTAAAATATTTGGATTTCTGTTTTTATATCAAATTACATCTCTCTTCACAATGGAATTAAATAACTCCGTGGTTGACTCTCTGACTTTAAATTACTTGAATCTCACTGTAGATTTAAATCCCACCAGGATCTTGGAATCTTAAAATCCTGTCAGGTAGCTTACAGAAAGTTGGTGGTTTTACTCAGTTGCTGACTTGTGCCTGAAATAATGTACTAAGGAGCACATGAGGTTGTCCTCAACCATTAAGCTGGAAAATCACCTAATTACCTTTACAGTATCTTGATGACTTAAAAACCAAATAAAACAGAATCATGATGGAGTTGTTTCGCATAGAATGAATTAGAGGAACTATTCTGATATAATTTGTTTGAGATTGTCTTATTTACTAGGCTAAATTGACAAATGCCTCATAATTTGTGTTGATATGCATTGTATGACAATGATTCTTATAAATGACAACTAGCTGACAGTGTTATGATATAATTATTTCAGGTATTCTGACATGATGCTGGAAGTTCTATTAGAAGACTATCTTACAGGAAAAGCAGTAAAACAATGAGTATAAAAATGTATGTCCTGCTGTAGGTATTCATACTTATTCATAAGCAATTATCAGGAAACACATAAATTTGTATGCTTATTCAGGATTTGATTTTGATATTAGGATAGTTAATGCGTCCAAGTATCTTTGTGAAAACTACGATCATTTATCTTTTATGTGAAATTTCATTAGCTCGATTATACAATATATGGCGAACTGTCTCACTCGCTTCGGCTTCCACAGATTTCAGATTCAAGATTTTGTGCAGTAAAATAGTTTCTTCTACAACCTTTTTTATTTATAAGGTATCAACTTCAAATTTCAAATATATGTTCCTTAAAATCAACCACATCTTATGTGACAAGGTTTTTAAATGTCAAAAGAATTTCAGGCATATTATGTTATAGCCCCTGGCCTCCATCCGTCCATCCGTTAGCAATTTGGTTTCCGGAGCATAACTTAAGTTCTATTTGGCCCACAATATTCAAACTTCATAGGATGATTGTCAATATTGGGTAGAAGACCCCTATTCATTTTGGGGTCACAAGGTCAAAGATCAAGGTCACTATTACTTTAAAACTGAAAACAGTTTCCGGAGCATAACTTATGTTCCATTTTGCCCACGATATTCAAACTTCATAGGATGATTGTCCATATTGGGTAAAAGACCCCTATTGATTTTGGGATCACAAGGTCAAAGGTCAAGGTCACTATTACTTAGAAATTGAAAACAGTTTCTGGAGCATAACTTAAGTTCCATTTTACCAACAGTGTTCAAACTTCATAGGATGATTGTCCATATTGGGTAGAAGACCCCTATTGATTTTGGGGTCACAAGGTCAAAGGTCAAGGTCACTATTACCTTAAAACTGAAAACAGTTTCTGGAACAAAACTTAAGTTTCATTTGGCCCACAGTGTTCAAACTTTATAGTATGATTGTCCATATTAAGTAGAAGACCCCTAATGATTTTGGGGTCACAAGGTCAAAGTTCAAGGTCACTATTACTTTAAAACTGAAAACAGTTTCCCGAGCATAACTTAAGTTCCATTTGGCCCCAATATTATTCAAACTTCATACGAGGATTGCTATTTGAAGGAGGTAATTCTTTATTTAAGACCACGGGCATATAATGCTCCGCCTAGTGGTGCTCTTGTTAACTCTGAGATTTGAGACAAAACTCAGAAAAAAAGTGTTATAACCTTGAGGCTAGGTTTCTGACATCTTTCATATTACCAAATAATTTTTTCTTCCCAAGTGGTAGTAGAGGTCAATATCAGGATTCTGGATAATATTAAACACAGATGGAAACAAATAAACTGCTTTGGTTTTTTATATGTGTCAAAATTTGTGACACTTAAATTTCACTTTAAGTTATAAATACTTAATTTCATATGTAATATTGTTTTTATTTCACCCCCTGAAGGTGTGTGACTTTAATATTATCATGACATATCGTGATGACAAGCAAAAAAATTGATGATAGGCTGAAAGTAAAAGTGCAATCTTGAAAAACAACAAAATACTAGTTATTTTATATTTTAGTATGAGAAAAAAAAACTAAGAATATGGCTTAAATGTCATATGTCATTACAAATTTTTAAAGATTAACTACTGTAAAACACTTATTATTCGCGAGAAATTTATTTTCGCTAATATTCGCGAGTTTTCTAAGACGCGAATTCATATTTCTCGCGAATATTTCACTTTGTCTATACACTTGTCCGAAAATGAACACTATCTGAAAATGCGTACACATGGATATATATCTGCGGGAAAGTATCGTACATCATGTAGCTAATCAAGTGTTGCAGCATATACATATCGTAGAGATTACTAGTATGAAATATTTATCTGTAACAATTTGGTATTATTGAGGAATTGGAAAGAAACTTCTTCGCTGCATATTACCTGTGTCAAGGAAGGTAAGTGTGACTTGAACTAGAATTAAGTATAAACAAATTAATGCGTCTCACAAAATTTAAATGGTATTTCTACAGATTGTTCTAATTAATGTGAAAATCTGTCCAACTTAATGGATTAATTAAATTTCTAACACAATTGATCAAGGTCAATGTCTATTGAACAATACCTGTGACAAACACAGTGAACACATATCAAATAATTATCAAACTTTATTGACATATTTTTAGACAGACGGTTTCTCTTAACAAGAAGATTAGCAAGCTAGCAGAAAAATCGATACAGATATAAAGGCATTCGTCGCACAATAAACGATGCAAAGTTAGTGAACGGACAGGACAGAAAATATCTGAATGACATCGGGTTTCTGGTTTCACACTTTTCGGGAAGACGCGAATTTATGTTGACGCGAAATAATTATTTTGGACATTTTGCCTCAAATTCGCGAAATAAGGTTCTCGCGAAAAATAAGTGTTTTACAGTATCTTCAAAATGTAAATGATCAGAGAAGTTTAAATTAGTTTTCCATTAAAGTAAGTGTCATATGAAACCCCATTTTTGAAATCAGTTGTCAGAACTTAATTAAAACTTAATAATTATTATTATTGTTATGTTTATGACATTTGTGAACAAATGATTATTATAGAATTTCCCAGCAAAAAAATAATAGTTTATAGTTCTAATAAACTTCTCTTGTGTGATATATATTCTGTACGTAAATTAAAGGAGAAATTATATCAATGATTTTAATAATTTCAGTTGTTACAAAATATTGTAATAAATTTTGGTGATATTGGAGAAGAAAAAAATCATGACAAAATCATTTTGTTTCGTGACTTTTTTTTTTTTTGTATTATAATGCATAAATGTCATTTCAACTTAAATGTCAAATCAGTTAATTACAGAAATTAAATACAATATTTTAAGGATGCTTCCAAATCACCTCACTCTACAAGGTAAATTTACATAGTGATACAACTACTAAATAAATACAATCACTCGTTTTGAATAGAATATAGCTACAAATAAATTCAATCAGTTTTTTTTTCCCCCTTAAAAGGAATGTTACCACTATAGAGAGGCTTTGTCACCCTGGCCGTCTTTTATATGATTGTAATTCATCCAAGAGATATGCAGTTTGAATAGAAGTCTATTGATTTCTCTATTCTGATAATTTAGCGGGGAGAAAGTTCCCGTTCACCCTCGGAGAGAGTTTAAACAGTATCATATTCTTCAAGCAATAATGGCCTTGCTAAAATATTTGCATTAACTTCTCTTGTTTAAAACTTAGGAAGCACTGGCACACAGAAAAAAACTAGTTAGCAGTTATTGATGCGCGTTAAGGGAGATAATCGGAAACGGTTAATCTGTCGTATTTGTTACAAATTATAGAGGATGAAGCTTTAGTAATTGAGGCGATGATTTTCGATTGAAAATGTACACGCAGGGGTTGCCTTCGGTAATGTAAATCACTCAGAGAAAACTGTTTAAACATTGTAAGGTTATAAAGCAAGAATAAAACTTAATGAAATGAGCGCACTTGGTAATTCTGGGAGGTTAAATCTAACTGATTTGGAGGTAATTGAAAAAATTGAAGAGCTGATAACGAAATGTGATCAGTACTAGGAGGTGAGAAGAGAAGTTTGTCGAGTTGAAAATAAAAAAATTGTTTTTCTTTGTAATATATATTTAGAAAAACATGATAACAAGTTGCCTTGTCCTTGATGGAAGGCAGTAGTGATATTAAACACTTGTGATATGTAATTAACTGATGTTCTTTTGTGATGTTCAGAAGAACAAAAAAATAATATCATGCTCAACCTATATGCATTTAAAGAATAAAATATAATTATCAGGAACTAACAAATTGTCTATAATTTAATCAATTAAAAATAGTCCTTAACCAGACTAATACTATACAAAACTTTTATTTTTATTTGACAAACAATAGTAAATTGATGTATAGTTATGATTTCAATTAGGTGAAAAGCAATTAGACATTTCTGTTGGTTTTTTTTTTCAAAAGGTTTTTGTTCTTAATATTTAGACAGTAAAAATACTGCTGTTATGTAAAGGTTGACAGGTCAAGACCTCATAACAAGGCTTGTTAACGCGCTTGCTGCTGCACGAGGGTAATACAATGCGGAACTATCAATAATAATACAGTCAAAACATATTAAACGAGGGATAGAAGGCAAATCAATTTACAAATCAACTGGATGGTAATCACAGTGTCACTTTATTGGTGAATCATGAGTAGTGTCTTTGCATGAACTCTGTATTAATCGGAACGGGAGCAAGTTTCTTTTTGTAATCTGTCGGATTATATTGTATAAAGGAGGAAATCTTTTTTTTTATCAAGGGTTAGCTTAGTGGTTTTACACGTCTCTTTGCAGGTGTTCTCCATTACTTCGCATCTCGGGTACTTTGTTAACTTCTGATATCCGATATTGCACAGTTTACATTTTGAGTGTGCGCATTTAATAAATTTTGTCGTCTGCTAAATAATCGACTGTTAAATAATTGCTACTCTCGGAGCTTTGAACATTGTTATTCTTTTCGCTGACCTTAATACAGCGATTTATTTACATTTAAACAGACAAATCTTCAAATATTTGATAATTTTTCGATAATTTTCAATGTTAAATAGGGAAAGTGGATTTTGTGACACTGGAGATTCGCAAATTGATCAGAAGCAGACGGGCAGTTTGTTACTAAAAATAAATAAAACAGCAGACGGCAAAGAATGTGAAGTGAGGTGCAAGTATTGATGACAAGACTGATTGTTTAAGCTGTAGTATCAACACCTAAAGGTAATAGAGCTTATTCTATCAGGCGTAATTTACTCTAGTAGCTTAACTATCATTTAATAGCTAAAAGAGGTAAAAAGCGTTGGATGTAATTTGCAATTAACATGATAACTGTATTCTGCTTGAAGTATTCTGTCAAAGCGGGTGACAAGATAAAAGATTAAGAAAGGTATGTGTAGTTACTAAAGCTGGTTTAACATGATAAATAGATAGTTGTAATGTAATTGATAGCGTTATGTGGTGTTTTATAAGGGGTTTTGTCTTCTATTTGTTTACAGGCAAAAAAGAAATAATTGATTGCGTTGTAGAATAAGTAAATATTTAGTTTTAATGTCATGATATTGATATAGTGTATACTTGTTAATATTGATTCAAGGCATGATTGAATCATCTTGTTTTTAATTCTATATGATTGATTGATTTTTAAACTGTAATTGTTGAGATGATTTTTTTTTACATAATTTTCTTGTATGTTATATCGATTGTGGTAAATATCGCAATTTTTTTTTAAATATCTTTATTATATTTTCAGCTTCCTGATTTTCTTTTATTTCCTTTTTCGTTTTTTTTATGAAGTTATTTTTCATCTTATTATCACTACTTGATAATTTTGTATTTATAGATTTTTAATCTATTATTTGTTGCGGTTATGGAGCTGAAAGGTATTACAGTCGAACCTTTGTTAAAGGAAGCCTGGAACCAAATCCATTTAAGGAATCTGTCGCAATCCTTCCATATCATTTTCTATTTACAACAATTGTAGTACCACCTTGTAACAAAGACCACCTTTTTCATCTCACTAGATTGGTCTTTTTAAACAGGGCTGACTGTAAAGTGTGAAGAAAAAAAAGGAGAGGTGTGTTTGTAGATAAATATATCGATGGCTGAACGCAACACTGGTCTAACTTGATTTTTTTTCAAAAATGACTTTTTTGCATTTTTTAGCCTAATTGTATGAAATACATTATAAATAAAAAATTTAGAAAAATTGGAAATTTAGGGTTTTATTTCCCATTTGGCTTTTTGCTCTTCTCAAATTGAGATAACAAAATCAACAGAGAGTAACTCAATTTAAAACTGTGTTGATAATTTATTGGGGATGAAAACTGTACAACCCAAAGTTGCACAGGTTGCTGTTAAAATTTAAAAAATTAAAAATCTTTATTGTTAAATTTGCAGATAAAGTCAGGTCTGGCAATTCAAAAAATACTTATTTTACATTTTACCCATTTTTGTTGCCAAAATTGCAGAATTGAAAATCCAAAGGGGCTTTTAATTTAATTAATTTTGTTTTCAAAAAAACATTTATACAAATTTTTTTAAAAATTTGCTGCATTTTTATCATAAAAGAAAAAATAAAAAATTATAGTAAATTTAAACCTTTTAAAAATTTATTATAATATATTAATTCACTGTTGATGATATTATTTACAAGACAATTTTTCTTTTGCTTCTTCTTAACCCATTTACTTCATGAGCATTTTGTGAAAATGGCTGTTTCCATTGAAAGTCTCCCCTTTACAAGTTCAAATTGCTATAATACTATAAAAACATGCTTCAACACTAAATCAGAAACTTTTGTGCACAAATGTTGACTGGACCATTGTCCTTGCAACAACATTTGCTCAGGCTTAAAATTTTTCTGTTACCATGGCAACGAGGGACATCCCAAAATTGCCAAAAATCACATTTTGCATTAATTTTTTTTCCATCAAAATTGATTTCAAAGTGCTGCAACTTCACAATGGATTGAGATAGAGTCAAATGCTTTTCAGCATTGTTTACACGTTACCTTATGATCAATCTGGGGTCATTTATAGCCCCTCACAAGTCCAAAATTTGTTTTTTAAGGAGCACCAACATAAATTGAAGTCATAAATCGCTGAAACAGGAAAGATGCTTTTCTTGCATATCAGATAGGATTATCTATTGTTTACACCGGTGCTAGAAAAACCTGTCTTACATCCCCCATGTAAGAACAAGTTAATGTTTTAAATGATGTCATTCCCAAGCGCCTAATATGAATGAATTGCATTCTAAAGATGACATCATTTTGCCATAAAGAATGAAGTTGTAAAGTCATGTAACTATATGGAGAAAAGTGCTAAATGAAAGTATGAGTTATCGTAATTTCTTTACGAAATATCACTAATATGTAATATGGGGAGAAAAAAGTCAAACACCAAGCTGTTGTCACAAACAGGAATATCTAGCTCTTGGATAACTGTGTAGCAAAACATCGTCAGAGTCTCTTAATCGCCATAACAAATTACCCTCAAGTTAGATAATCACGTCTGTACCGGCAGCTGGTGTAAATTCCTTATAGGCTAACCTCGGATGTTACAAACTTGAAGCAACAGAACTTGGGTGTTTGAGGTCTTCCTACACTGGGTAAAGCTGGAGTATTGCCATATGACCCTTACTGTGTAAGTGTGACATAAAACCCCAACAAGAAAAGACAAGAACGTGTTTGTTAAACACAAATGCCCCGGCTCAGATTCTTGTCAGTAGCAATACTTCAAAAAATGTTTACCCATTCACTCAGTTATGGACAGAAAATTGCCAAAAAATTTTAAACACAAGTTTTATAGCTTGACAAAGTCATGGCATTTTGTAATTGTGAAAAATATAAGTTGCCAATTTAGTCATTGCTCTGACTTGTGAAGTTGAAAAATATTCAACTTCATGCGAGTTATCTTCCTACCAAATATGAAATACATCTGTCATTAAATAAAAGCTGTATGGAAAAAAGTGTATAAATCTATTTTGAGCACTGGTGACCTTGACCAAACCAACCCCTAACTCTATCCAAAAGAAGAATACCATGTAAGTTATCTTCCTACCAAATATGAAATACCTCTGTCAATAAATAAAGGCTGTATGGGCAAAAGTGTAAAAATCTATTTTTAGCACTTGTGACCTTGACCCAACTGACCCCTTACTCCATCAAAAGGAAGAATACCATGCAAGTTATCTTCCTACCAAATATGAAATACAACTGTCAATAAATAAAAGCTGTATGGGCAAAAGTGTAAAAATCTATTTTTAGCACAAGTGACCTTGACCCACTGATCCCTACCCCAATCAAAAGGAAGAATACCATGCAAGTTATCTTCCTACCAAATATAAAATATATATGTCACTTAATAAAGGCAGCAGTGTATGAGCAAATGTGTAAAAATCTATTTTTAGCACTGGTGACCTTGACCCAACTGACCACTAACTCCATCAAAGTTTATGTTTCTATCAATTATAAATAACATCTGTCTATAGAATAAGGTCAATACACCTGTAAAAATGTAAAAATCTATTTTTTAACATTGGTGACCTTGACATTGGTAACATTGACCTTGACCCAAATGACCCCATACTACACCCCAAAAGGTAAGGAGTGTTTGTATTAAACTAAGACATCAAAGCTAAAAAAAATAAAGGCCGTTATGAGCAAAAGGTTTATATTTTTTTTTTTTAAACCAGTGACCTTGGACCCTAGAGACCGCTTTACTCCAAAAAAAATTTAGAGGACCATCAAAGGTATCCACTACTTAAATATGAAAGATATCAGTAAAGAAATTAAGCAATTAGAGAGAAATTTAAGATAAATCCAACTTGCCGAAATAGGTTAACCAGACAAGGCCCTATTTTCAAAGTGAAAAAAAGGGAAATAACTGGGAAAATTATGGATGACACAGTTATATAACTTGGGGGCAATATCATGTGCTTTGTATTGATAAGTAAGTGTGGAAAATTATAAGCCATTAGTGATAGATAGAACTTAAGATATTTCCAACTTGCCGTTTTAGGTTAACCAATATTCATTTTCTAAGTGCTGAAAAGGGCAATAACTTGGTAAATATGAAAGCCAGAGTTATGAAACTTGCCCAGATCATGTACTTTGTATTGATTAGTAAGTGTTTACTTAGAAGCCATTGGTAACAGTAGAACTTAAGAAAAAATCCAACTTGCCGTTCTAGGTAACCTCGTACGGACCAGACGGACGGACGGAGGGTTCAATTACTATATTGCCCAGGGGCATAAAAAAGAAATTTTTAAGAAAGAGTGGGGACTATGCTGGTGATATATTATTTTTAGTGGGCCAATGCTGATAAAGAGGGTTATTATAGTGGAGACAATGCTTGTGAAATCATAGATGGGAACAATGCTGGTAATATCATAATCATAGTAAAATGGGGACAATGCTGGTGATAAGAGGGTTACTTGGGACAATGCTGATGCTATTATAGTTAGTGGGGACAATTCTAAGTAATATTATAACTAGTGGGGACATTATGCTTGTGATATCAAAGTTAGTGGAGACAATGCTGGTATTATAAGGGTTAGTGGGAACAAAACTGGTGATAATTATAGTGTTCCTAATGTTCCCTAAACCTTAACATTTTACTTGAAATTTTGACTACATAAATAAAAGTTTGAAAATATAAATGAAGATCCAAAAGGCAAAAATATGGTTCATTTTGAATATAATTGTCTGTGTTTTTAGAGTTGAGAGTTTTATATACATGCTTCTATTTTTCAGTTATGAGTATGTGCTTCAATTTTTAATGTTACACATAGAATAATGCTTTATATAAAAAAAAATCTTATCTTGTCTATAATACATTCATTCTGAAACTAAAACTTTATAATTAGATTTAAAAGATATATATATATATATATTTATGTTGATAAAACAACTGACTTTTTAAGATGTCTCATTTCTAGTTATGTTTTGCAAAAAAAATTGTAAATTTTGTAAAAAATTAACATGTTGGTTTCCGTAGAAAAGTTGTTTTCTTTCAAAAACATACTAAAATATGGTTGAAAGTTACAGCTTTTTTTTTTTCTTTTATATCATCCTATTTTTTCAAACATAGCACTTATTGATTATTCTACGATTGGCCTTATTCAACCCGTTTTGTTAAACGCTAAACATAGTGGGCTAGTCAAGTTTAGACCAGTTTTGCTGAAAATTTTATCATTGAAATTTGGTAATTTATAGATGG